TTCAAATTGTCCATGTATTTATTTGGACAGTGGGATTTAACTGTCCTATCAATTACTATTAGGAATATTAAAAACATCTGATTATAACTGTGAACTTCACTGTCTTCTTAGTCTGTCATGTTTTTCTTTATGTACTTTGAAGCTCTGTTTTTACCACCATAAGGAGTATTGTGTTCTAATATATTGACCCTTTCAACATTATGGAACAAGCTTTTTTATATCTGGCTAATATTGCTTTGAATTTTACTCTGGCATTAATATAATTATATCAACTTTATGTTTACGGTGTGCATGGAAAATCATTTTTCATCTTTTTACTTTCAAACTAGGTTTTTATACTTCAACCTAACTCTAGTATAGGCAGTATACTAGTTAGGCCTTCCTTTTCTGTCTACTCTGACAATCTTTGCCTTTTGAGACTGCTTAGACCAATGATGTCAAATGCATGGTCAAGTCACATAGTAATGTTTTTTAAGAGCTCATTTTTTTGTATAATTTTACTACAAGAGGAGACAGAGAGATTTCTCATATCTCCCCTTCTACTACATATGTATAGCCTTCCCTATAATTAACATCCCCACCAGAGTGGTATATGTTACAACCGATGAACCCACAATGGCACATCATAATCAAGGTCCACAGTTTACCTCAGGGTCTGCTCCCTAATTCTCTAAGTTTGGACAAATGTATAAATAATGTGTATCCTTCACTGTTGTATTACACTGAGCATTTTCACTGACCAAAAAAACTTCTGTACTCTACCAATTTATCCTTCCCCCAACTTCCATCATTCACTGATTTTTTTGTCATCTCCATGGTTTTGCCTTTTCCAGAAAGTCATAGGTTGGAATATGGTATACAAAATAAAATTTTCAGACTGAACTCTTTCACTTAGTCACCTACATTTAAGGTTCCTCCATGGCTTGATAACTCATTTCCATTTAGTACTAAATAATGTTATATCATCTGGATGTACCACTATTTATTTGGACATTCAGAGATAAATGGATCACAGGTAATTGTCTATTTAACTTTTTAAGAAATTGTCAAATTGTTTTTCATAGTAGTTCTACAATTTTACAATCCCATCAACAGTATATAAGTGTTACAGTTCCTTCACATTTAAAGTATGTACTTCATATGGTAAGTCTTTTTAATTTTAGTCATTCTAACAGGTATGCAATATTCTGTCAGTATAGTTTTAGTTAGCATTTTTTCTTCTAAAGATGTTGAGAATCTTTTCCATATTGTTTACTTGCCATCTGTATCTTTTTCATGAGCTACCTGTTCAAACATTCAGCCTAATTTATTAATTTGGGTTGTTTTCTGACTTAAGTTTGAATTTACATATTCTGAACTGATATAAATCCTTTACCAGCTATTTGCTTTGTAAAGGTATATTACCACAATATGGCTTATCTTTCCATCCCCTTAACAGTGCCTTTTCAAGAATAGTTTTTAATTCCAATGACATGGCCCTCTTGTTTTGTCACAGATCATTATTTTAAGGTCCTAGCAAAGAAATTTCTAATCCAAGGTCACAGAGATTTTCTATATTTTCTTCAGTTAAGTTTTATAATTTTAGGTTTTACATTTAGGTCATGGTCCATTTGGAATTAATTTTCATATGCAACATGAAATTCAGATCCAAGATCTCTTTTTCACATATGCTATAACCAATTGTTACACTATCTTTTCTTTAAAAGTGTAATTCTTTTCTTCATTGAATTGACTTTTCACTTTTGTCAAAAATCAGTTGTCCATAATTGTGGGTCTTATTTCTGAACTCTCTATTCTGTCTCACTGACCTATTTGTATTTTTGCCAATATGATGCGATTTTGATTGTTGCAGCTTTACAATAATTCTTAAAAACAAGCAATAAATGCTCTAGTTTTTCTCTTGTGGCTTTTAGCTACACTTCTTTGTATTGGTTCAAAAGATTACACTTAGAATTTCAACATGCAATCTTGTTAGAATCTTTCTTAGTTAATATATCACTTCATGTAAAATTTGAGAAACATACTACTATAAAATTCATCTATACTTTGTGCTAATTACTGTCAGATAAACAAATATATATATATATAAAACAAACCCCATAAATACAAAGCTTTCATTTATATAAACACAGACCTTCAATGAAACTTCAGAGGATTAATACAGTCTTTTTAAATTTATACACTTATTTACATTTCCAATACTTCCCACCTCCTGCAAATCCATATTTTTATCTAATGTCTTTCCATTCAGTCTGAACAAGTTAGCTTTTTGTTTTTTCATGTCTTTAATTCCTGGTTGTTTTTAGATTTACTCTTTATTGTTAGTTTTCTGTATTCTGACTATTACATATGGTTCTGTATATGGATCTTACACAGGGCTTACTGTGAGTGTCTCGGATATTTCTTATTCAAATTTTTCAAGTTTTCAGTCATTCTACTTCAAATACATATACTTTTCTTCACCCCACTCTATTCTCTCTTAAGGGCTTCAATTAGACCGCTTATACATTAGACTGCTTAATTGTCCAACAGGTCTATTTTGTTCTCTCTAAAAGTTTGAATAATTTGTATTTATCTGTATTCAAGTATGCCAACCTTTCTTCTATTGTCTCCCATCTGCTGTTAGTCCCAAGTGAATTTTTCATTTCAAAGACTGCATTTTTCAATTAGTCTTGATAACTCTTTATCTCTTAATATATTCCTCCATCTGTTCAGTCATTACGTAAGTCTTTTCCTTTATAGCTCAAAATATTTATCATCTTTATCTGCTAACTCTATTACCAATAGAGTAATTTTGGAGTCTGCTCCTATTGAATGCTTCTCTGTAGTTTATAGATTATTTTCCTGCTTCTTTAGATGACTTTTAACTTCTGACTGTACGTTAGATATTATAGAGGACAGTTGTGGCAACACTGAATCATGTTGTTTGCCTTAAAAAGTGCTGTTTTGTTTTGGCAGGGAATTAAATTACTGGTGAATCCTTTACATTTCTACCATCAGGTCAGATTTTAGGTTTAGTCTTATGAATAGCACTTACTATAGAGCAGCAGTTCTCAACCTGTGGGTCATGACCCCTTTGTAACAATGAAAATACATGGGCAGCATTAGGAAGGTTGAGAACCACTGCTATAGAGTATGATCCCTTCTTTTAAGGCCTAAGTTTTTTCTTATCCTAAAATCAGTGTTTTTCAACCTTTTTGAAAAAGCACAATTGAATCTATAGTTAAACTTCCAGGGCACACTTATATTGATAAAAAAAAGACTAAAAAAAAAAAAGAATATACATATTGTGCTCTGAACTTCTTTCAAAAGTAATTAAATGATCTTTAAAAATGTTCACAGCACACCTAAGATCCTCTCACTGCACACCAGCTGAAAAATCACTGGTCTAAATGGATCACTGAAGTCCAGGTTCTGACTTTCCACAACTGCAATGTCTTAGTGCACTGTTCAACCTAATGGAATTAGCATTTAGCTCTCAGCCCCAGAGCAGATCATTTCTGACAGACCTTGCAAAGTCTCAACCTGAACACATGTAACCCAGCCATTATCTAAAATTCTGAATAAAGCAAGTCCCCACACCAATTTCTACCCCCTACTCTGTGCCTAAACCCCTAGATAATTCCCTTTTCTCTAGGATCATTCCCCACAAATTCCTTATGTTTGAAGAGCTTCAAATTCTACTCTTGGTCTCTTCAGCAAAGTGATACCTGAATGTTCTGCTTGGGTTCCACTTCCCTTACTATGGGAGTAAGATAGCCCCAAGGAGAAAGCCAGAATTCAGGAGACTCACCTCATGCTTCCCTTCTCCGAAAGATCATGATCTTACATTGACTGCTCATCAATTCCAGAAAACAGTTGTTTCATATATTTTGTTCAGTTTAACATAATTTTTGATTTGGGGAGGAGACTGGAAAGGGGGCAAGGCTGCTACCAATTACTCTGTCATAGCCCTAATTATTAAGAACGTTTCCATTATCAATCACAGTATTCATTATTAAAAAAGAATTAAAGACATGATGAGACTATTTGGTCAATAGTCTATTTGACTATTTGGTGACCTGGTACTTTGACTATTTTGCTTTGTAACCCCTATATACAAAAACCAGTAATAATGTGTTGACAAATTCCTCTTCACATCATTATGACTATATTTGTTAAGTATGTCCTTATAACTTATAGTTAACTGAACTTTACGCAAGTAACTGCTACTTAAAGGAAATCAAAATGTTTTTTGGTCTTTTAAGATCCTTTTATTGCCCGAAATAATTTCTCAAGCAAGTAACTCAAGAAAAAAATAAGAGAAAAAAATTTCAGTTTGAGGTAAATAACGTGAAATGTTGTTTTATAAGGTAAATTCATTCAATAATAACAATAATCAGATTCAAAATTTGGTTCAGCCATAAAACTAAGGTCTACAATTAGTCTATATTGGTTTATAGACCCTTAATGTTTGTTTACAACCAACATTATTCGTGACAAATACCAAAAACTCTAACTTTGAAAGTTAGATCATCTTAAAATTACAAGTAACAACACAGAAAAATAAATTCAAAGAATTAAAATATTGTTATGGCAAAGAAAAAGGTTGAAAGCACAGAAGAAAACAGTTATGTAGTTAATTTTTTTGGCTTTTATTTAAAGTTTCAGTTTTAGGGTTTATGGCATAAAGAAATAAAAATATTCTATGACAAGCAAACAAAACTAAAAGCAATAGAAAAAAAGGATGAGTATGGGGGTTATAACATGAAAGAAGAACAATTATGTCTTTGTGATCAAAAAAGGAAAACCATCAAACTTAAGTTTTACTTGCCCACGAAACTCACCAACTTTTAAGTTTTTTTCACTAGACTCATTTATATGCTGGTAAAAATTTCCTCTAAAATGTTTCAACATAGCTTTTAAAAAGAATAGCTATACTCATATAATAAGTTTAGTTTTAATTATGCCCCATACAACAGCAAATAATGACAGGCTGTTAAGACTTGTCTAATACTTACCTGTAACTACCATGCTGCTCATATTAGAGTTTGGACTACTGAGAACACTGCCTGAGAGTAGTTCGTCAGATCCTCTCTATAAAAGCAAAAAAAAAAAAAATTAGCATAGGACATCTTAAAATTTAAAAATATTAATCTGAAAGCCTGTCACACACTTAAATGAATATCAAATGCTACATTATTAGGGAGACTCAGAAACTTAATTCTTAAAATAAAAAATTAACTTCATCTCTCTACTCTTTTATCTGTCCCCTTCACTTTCACTTAAGCCCAAAAGACAATACAAAAGATGATTAGTTTCCATAATCAAAACCTTCGAAAAGCTACCTCAATTTTTTACAAAAAGAAAACTTTGTAAAAAAAAAAAAAAACAAATAAACTAACAACTAATGTCACATAATTTTCCATTCCAGTAGTCCTTTATTCATTCAGATAACTGAAGTCTCCAGACTATTAGAATTTTATACTGCTAAGGGGGAAACCATCATCATTAAAATTAAACAGGTATAGACATCAGTAGCTAGGACACTGAAAGCAAAATGAAAATATATAGAATGAGAAATTTCTGTCAGAATAAAAAGAAATATGGTCATGACCTAAAAATCTTCCAGAGAAAAAGCTAAAAGGTATATGTTTTGGACGTGCACAGTTGTTCAAACCACTCAATAATATTTTAGATATTTTGAAAAATCTATTTACAAAAACATATGAGTGCACTAATATTTAAACTAGCTAAGTCAACTTTTTTGCTTACTTTACATATGTGTATGTTGTCATACATATACAGTAAAATTTAAAATAGCCAAATCAATACTGGCTGATTTAAAACAACCAATCAGTACAAAAAAACTGAATACAACCACAAAAACGAAAAAAATGTATAAAGGATATAGAAGCATTTCAGGAAGTCAAAGAAAATCCAAATTAACCAAAACTCCACGCTAATATGTTTACTCATAATTAATAAGCTTTTGTATTACAACAAATATGAAAATAATAAACAGATACTCCACGTCATCTGCCTTAAATGTTTTAAAAGCTTCCCATTCATCAGCATCAAATACTTAAACACAAATATGGGGAAAATAAAGCACAGTTTCAAGCCACATTAACAACATATTTGCACCAAATCTAATTTCTAATCAAGATAAGGAAAACGTGACGTGGCAGTTAGTTGTATGTGTGTAAGGACACAATGAGCAGAATTAGATATTTTAGTGATTCTCAAAATACAGTCCCTAAAGACTAGCATAAAACCTGGAAACCAGATGGTAATACATGTTCTCAGGTCCATCCTAGATCTTATGAATATGAAACTTCTCATCTTTCACAGGTTGTGTCTCTGACAAAGGTTTAATAACCTGAATCCATAGAGAACTTAAATGTATTAGCAAGAAGAAAATGAGTGATCCCATCTCAGGGTGGGCAAGGCACTTGAAGAGAAAT